GACTATGTGCAGTATGAGCAAGTAACAGTCAATAAAAATAAGTGATTCTCCCAGATCCCTCTCAGAGTTGTAGGACCTCTGAGAAGAAGAAACAAGAGAAGCAAGAGAAGGCTACGTTTCACTCCTTAGGCTGGAAGATTGAAGGGAAGTTGTTTCAGGTCTAACAGAAACTGCAAGTTTTGAAAATTAAATGAAAACTGAGGGGAAAAAAAAGTCATCCTGAGGTGCCTGAAATGCTTCACAATACCAGAAATAATGGTCTTCTTTTCTACAGTTTAACAAAACTAAAAAAGAGTTAAATTCAAAATTACAAACAAAACATGGTGTCACAAGGAAACATGTAAATATTGCATTGATAAAATGTTAAATCAAAACAATTTAACTTTTTTTTTCCTTTATTCTTTTAGCTGGCAACCTCCAGACAATTACAAAACAAATCCTAAAAACATTTGGGTTGACCCAAGTCCAGCATTTTTATTTATTTTAGTAGTGATGCCAATGAAAATTTTGACACTGAATCCTTGACTTCAAAATAGGCCTCAGCACATTTACAAAACTGTTCTCTAAGAACAAATATATTTGCTTTAATTTTCACATCTGGTCTACAAACAAAGCACCTCTATCTCTGACAAGCTATGGTGGTAAATATCTATTGCTTTTTACAAGCAATAAACAAACAATCTAGTGCTAAAAAGCAAAGATATAAGATCCCTCTATTACTCCCTAGTGTTTGATATTGTATTATTAATGAGAAAAACATTATTTCTTGCCTAGAAACAATATTTTGCACTAACAAGTTGAAGACTCAATCCTACTCACATTTATAAAGAGTTTTGTTGAATTGAATGGAATTATTCACATACACAAAAGTTACTTGTCTGTAAGTGTTTGCAGAATTTGCTCTAGAGAAGAAAAACACTGAATGCAAGCCTAGTGCTTTTAATATTCTATACAAAACCTGGCATAATTTTCTCTGTTGTGATTATAAACGAAACAGACCTTTCAAACAAGATCACAAGATCATAAAGAGAGGGAAGCAGAAAGGTATCCTTAGAGGCTAAATTCTCTCCAGTCCAGGAAAATCTATGTTGGTCTAAAGAAATGAAAAGTTAGACTGAATTATTCAAAAAAAAGGATCAGTCTCTGAAAGTTCTTAGAGGACAAAACACTGTTTTATCTTCTCAGCTTGGTGGCTCTGGGTACATTTATACTTCTTCACACCGTTTTATAGGTGTAGGCATATGTTTCCTTGTGATATTCCAAAAAAAACAATCTAGAAATGATTCCAAATCCCAGAGAGGAAAAACTTATTCCTCTGCTGTATCCAGTTACTGTTTATGAATCTGATCAGAATATTTTGATTTAATCCTAGATGCACTCTTTGTGATTTTTGCAAAGACAACTTTACTATTCATTGTAGAAGAACATAAAAATCTAAAAAATGTGCAAGCATATGCAGTATTGAAACCTTCTACAGGAATTTTAGTCAAGCCCTAAATGAAAACCAAATGAAGGAAAACCTAAAAGATTCCATGAAATGCATGCACTACAGATTCATTTTCAGGGAACAGAATATTAGTCCACGTTGGTCACAATCCGTGAGCTCGTATTCAGCATTACTGATATGCATAATCTCACCCATTTCTCCCTGCTCTGTGAGAGAACCCAATCCTGGCTAGAACACTTTCAACTGAGCATCCAAATTTAAATTCAGCATTCAATAAGTTACACGAGCCCACATTGCATCTTCCATCTAGTGTTCCACAACAAATCCCTTTCCTGACACATTTCCATTTCATGATAAATATAAGATGGGGAGAAGAGGCTGAGATTTTCACCAAAACACACCACAGCACACAAACACTGGCACCAAGTAGACAGGCTGGGGAGGACTGCATTCAGGTTAGCCATGACCTTTTCACTTACCTAAGAAAAGCAGGGTGCCAAGCACAACAGTGCCACTCACAAAGATGCCGAGGGCAATCCTCATGGCTTTGCCGGCTTCTCTCCTGGCCTCAGGTACTGCTTCTCCTTCCATCGGGATGTCTTGGGATGTGCTTGCTCTCCAGAAGTCTGGTTCTCCTCTCTTGCTGGTATCAGTATTTCAGTTGTTCACCAACTGCACCCATGAGCTGTTCTCCTCTCTTCTATTCACAACTCCAGGTTTCTGCCACGAACCATTTCCTAGGCACTTCCTGCTCTCCCCCTCTCAAAGGAAAATCAGGCATAAAATAGTATCTGTCTCCTATGTTCTCCTCTGGCTAGGAGGAGGAAAGGCAAGCGGTGACCACTGTGTGTACAGCCCTTGCTGCCTGTAGAGCCTCTATGAGCCAATCGCTCCGCAGTCTCCCTTATCAGGGGTTCCAAACAGAAGGATTTCACAACGTTGCCGAACAGATGTTTTAGCTATTCAAACATATAGCTGTAAACCCTTTACAATCAAAGCAGGACTGCTGGCAACTTTTACAAACAGGAGACTTATGGAAGGTTTTATTTTTTCTCCTTTGCTGACTGAAGTTTCCTCCTCTTAAACCATTCCAGCTGCATCATTTGGCTTCACCAGACGAGGTGCCCAATCAGTGGACAAATCCCTTTTTAAAGCTTCTGAAGAGGTCCTAGAATATCATGTAGCATTTTATTTTGGGAATTTGGTATGTGGCACTGTGTGCCAAAAATCACAGTCATGCAGCACAAAGCAATAATCAGCACAACCTACAGATGCTTTAAAAGATTTTTTTTTTTTTTTTTTTCCCCAGGCAAGATATTTCAGTCCTTGCTGATAAAAAATGAATATTAGGAGATGATCCTATGCTTCCAAGTCAAGTACTACAATGAGTTTAGTGGAAAGTATCTATTTGGCACTTCAAGATGGTAAAGAATAATAATAAAAAAAAAAAAAAAAGTAAAGCCTTATTTATTTATATGGATTTCTCAGTTTCTGGCTTAGACTTGATAATCCTCTCTCCAGGTGGCAAGGTTTCCCCATTCGTCAAGTAACAAAATCAATCATTTTGGGGTGAATTCTCTGAGCTGACTGTGAGCTCCATACTCTGCATACTCCAGAGCTGGACACTCATGCAAAACATAAGGATGTAGGGAGAGGCAGCACCATGCTCATGCTCCCAACAGCAGTTCATGTGTCTAGGTCACTTCTATGAGGTTTTTTGAGTTCCTGTATCAATCCCACCCATTCTGATAAAAAACTGTGAGAGAAGAGAGCATATGCCATATGTAAAAAGGGGTATGCAATAGAAAATTTATTTTGGAGACTGAATGTTTTTTCTGTATGAGCACCTACACACAAGTTGTCCTGGATGCAAGATGGGCATAAAGGGAAAACTCATTCAATCCAGAAGAAGACCTAGAGTTTGTAAATCCTGAAAGCCTCAGCACTCCTTCTACAGCCTGGCTGGGATCCTAAAAAAAAAAAAAAAGAATAATAAAACAAAAATTTAAAATGCCCTTATTTCTTATTCCTGTCTCTCTTCACCAGCAAGTTCCAGGAGGACATATTATCTCTGCTTGGTACACAAAAAGAAGAAAATATTTGTCTGTTTTCACCTGCCTACTTGTCCCACATTTAACCTATGATTTTTGACATCCATCAGCAGAGGAAGAAGAGAGAAATGATGCTATGCACCATGAGGACCACTTACCTCTTGGTACAAGAGTTCCCATTCATGCATGAATGACTCCATGGGTGGGGTGTGAGCAAATCCCTGGTTACAAACAATCCCCAGCAAAACTGTTACCAGCACAGGTCTGAGAAGGTATTTAAATGTTGTTGATGTTATTGAGTCTTCATATCAGAAATCACCAGGAGTCTCAAAGGGGCTGCCAAAATAGCACATGCTGTGCTATTTTAGGACATGCTGTGATCTTGACACTAGCCCATGATCCAAACACTGAGTAAATCTCAAAAGAACCCTTTGACAAACATTTGCTATTGGTTGCCTGATGGTTTCCCTTCTATGTCAGTATTGAACCACCAACAGTACAAAAGCTGAATAGTTATTAGACATATGCATGCTGTCCACCAGCTTTCTATCCTTCCAACCAACAGTAAATGATTGCATCCCTGCTTGAATTTCCCATACTTTATAACTTTAAAGTTTGGCTTCCTAGAGAAGTACTAGCACATACTGAATATCATACTTTATTAGTGTTTCACTAACAGCATTTTGCTTTTGAGGTATTTCTGTCTTTCTGGGACAACATCAGGCCAGAAAACAAGAACACTTTTCAACAATGCAAAACAGCAACCAGTTATTTCCCTTAGGAAAATTGTGGAGGGAAAAGGGAAAAGCAAGACAGGGAAGCAGGTGAGAGGGAGAGGCTGGACAATTCTATCCCCTCTCCAAAACAGATAAAGAGAACATGAGGTCTATGGGAACATGGAGATATCCCAACAAGAACCAGAAAGCTCCACCTTCTCTGGAGAGTCAACCCCAGGCAGCACATGATCTTTCTGGCAAGAAGATCACGAATCATCTGTCAGTAACAGAAAGTTCTTTAAGTTTTGGGTTGTGGGTTCATTTACACTGTGGCATAGTCTAAGCATCCTTCCCACTAGCTGTGGAGCCCGGTTATAGTGAGTAAGTCATCTTGGTTCCTCCAGCATGTACAGAACTGTGAAACTGGTCTGAAACACAAACAGCTGCAGACATCCATTTCTGGCAGTATTTGAAAAGGTGCACGGAGCACATGTGAATCAGCTTCTGATGCTGCTGATCAGTAACAGAAGTTCATGGAATTTCATATGTGTTTCTGATGAGCATGCTCGGATTGGTTGCCTTGCTCATGCTAACTGCAGCAGCTCTTTGGCAGGTACGTGATACATGGCCACGCATACTGCTGGAACTGCTAACAGCACTCCTGGCTATTATAGCCTAATAAGGCACTTAACGAGGCTCTGCAGAGACATTCATAAAATGCTGAATAGACATAGAAGAAAAAAAGTAGCAATTAAATGCAACATGCTCTAAATCACTCTTCATTCACTCAGAGTTGCTTCTGACCAAGATCCCACTCAAACAATGGGATCACTCTGAATTTATAACAATTCCAGGACAATGCACAAACATTTCCACCCATGTGCAAGAGCTGGCAAATCCTCTGGATTTTCAAATCCTCTGAGCTCCAGGCTCAACCATAGCAAAAGTGTCCCAGCTTCTAGAAAAAGTCTGTCTGTGTATGCAAGTATGCATGCATGCATGTGAATGTACACTCACAAATTCAAGGACATGTGTATTACCTTGTTCTTTCACAAGCAGACAGAATTGTCTCCTCCATTCATTATGCCAAAGTCAGGCAAGAATGCTTGATCAGAGCTATAATCAATAGTACTATGTCAACTTTCCCCCATGTAGCTTGATTTAAGGAAGTTCCCATTTCTTGAGGTTTGATTATACAACACACACACAAAACCTCACATTTTGCCTAGTTTTCACTGCCAACAGTCAGAACCAGTGTAACAAAGGTGTCACTGAATGTCTGGAACAACTAAACAGCTTGAGGTCAGCACACATTCACCCTATGCTTGCTGAAAGGCATGCTTGCAACAACACTGTAAAGCATTCTGTCTTTCTTACATTTATGTAACTTCAAAATGTATTACAGCAATTACGGATAATGTGGACAGAAAAAACAGTTCAGCTTTTAAAGTGTAAGAACCAAAGTAATGCATTTAAAACGTATTAGGTTATACCAATGCAGCAGTTAGAGAAGACATTTTCTCAGAAGACCCTGTCCTGATGGTGCACATTAAACACCTGCCCTATGTGGGAGGCAGATGACAGGTTACCTTCTAGGAATTAGCTAAGCTTGACAGAAGCAGCTCACAAAGTGTCACAGCTTTGATAATGTCCTATTAAGCATTTTTAGTTTCTGGCAAAGGAAGAATATAGCCACTACCACACTATTGGAGGCAGAGCCATCAGATACAGCTTGAGAAGCTTCAGCAGCAAAGCAGATGCGTAGGGTGGTTTTAGTGAAAGAGATTAATTAGTGCAGGTCAGAGTAAAGACTGTAATCAATTTCTTTTCAAGTATGCTACTATGAGGCCTTGAACTGGATTTGTTTTTCCAAACTATGCAGCTCTTGTAGCCAGAATTGGCCAAATGGCCTTTATGTACACATGATGTGCCTGAGAAATACCCAACATGTTGCATTTGAACACAGCTTGACCATTTGTCCTCAGACTTCTGAATCTTATAAATGATACTCTCTTGGCTGCAAAGCCCCGCAAATTTCTGTGATGCAGCCAATAGCAACCACACTCTGGCACAAGCTCATGTCCTTTTTTCAAGTGGCACATACAGTTGGAAATAAATGATTCCATTGTTTTCCACTGGTACAGCCACATCATGGAAGGTCCCAGTGCAGCTGTGAGAATCTGGGTTGTTAATTAAGAGCCAATACAGATACAACAGGCCTTGCAAGGCTCTGAACATTGCTGGTGGCAAGCTTTTCCACTAACTGTAACTGCAACTGTGGAAAGAAGACCCTGCAAAGCAGAAAACATTGTCCTCCAAGATTCAATTCTTCAAATATTTTTTTTTTCTTTTTTGAATTCCATATAGGCTAAGTTAATCTCATTACTCCAAGAAAAACATGTCCCTACTGCAGGAAACATTGCATTCCCTGACCAAAAGGTGCTTGTATCTAACCAAAACAGCAACTCACTATGAAAGGCAACAGCTGGGATGATTAAAGTTAAAACACTCAAGTTTGCAAGTTCTTTTAGAGCCGCTTTTGAAAAGCACTTTAATGAAACAATGCACATGTTTTTGAGCAGAAAGAACTGCTTGCTTTAGGTCTTCTGGCATTTTTTCCTCAAGAAGCGGATTACACGATAGCTAAACAAAATACTACTTCTTCTAAAAGCCACATTCACACTATAACAAGAGTGTGTTTACTTACAGCTATCACATGTGCATACTCCTCATATGTCATCACACTGTGCAGATTAAACCTGGAGTCTATGTCCAGTATACATGCTGACGTGGACTGTAGAACAACATGTTAGCTGGGGACTAA